CATTCTTCAAATTTGACCATCCTTCTTACATATGAAAAGTTCTTATTTCACTGAAATATGGAATCAAATATTTCAATTCATTGCTCACCCTAAATTTTTACTACATATTCAACACATGTTCAAATGATGTATTCACTATAATACTATGAATGGAATACTTGGCATTTCAATTTTTGATTCAACTAGTTTGATTTCTGAAGCTAAAATAAGGTAAAAATAATGGTGCCACTTCAAAGTGTAAAGTGAACCATGAATGGATTTGAAAATTCTAACAGAGTTAAACGGAATTGTTAAAATTAATTCTGCTTAGATTAATCAACAAAACAACCTTTGGACTGCTTTTTAAAAACCTGCACATGGGGCAGCTAGGTGGCACAGTGGATAGAGCACTGGCCCTGGAGTCAGGAGGACCTGAGTTCAAATTTGGTCTCAGACCAGACACTTGACACTTATTAGCTGTGTGACCCTGGGTAAGTCACTTAACCCCAAATGCCTTGCAGAAAAAAAAAAGCCTGCACATGGTGGGCCATAATACCTGGCATGAATTTAGGTAAAATCACAGATACTTTTATACTCATTCAGTTTTTAACTTAATGATCCTAGAGATAGTCTCCAAGGTTTTAAGTAAAATGAAACTTTTTATACTAATTTGTGTTATGTGCAAATTCTAAAAGACTTCAGTTCATAGAGCTAACAATGTGGAAAATAAATGAAATATACATATAGCTAAGGAAACAAATTCAAATTACCCCTACATTGTTATCTTTGAAATTTTCACAAATAAAATATACTTTCAAAGAAGATATACTTTCAGTTACGTTGGTGTGAAATGCAAAACTCTATACTAAAAAAACATATTTCCATTGCAATTCCAAATCACTAGGCTATTTAACTATCTCATCAATTAAACCAGGATTTTGAAAACATATTAATATAGTAACAGAGTCCATGATAAAGGGAGCAGAACACCTACTAAGATTGACAGTGAAAACTGTAGAATGACCAAGAGGCAAAATTTCCTTAGATACTACTCTTTGACATGAGAGCCAGTAACAATTTCAGTATAAGCATGACATTCAGCACAGGCTTCAGATTTAGAATTCCTTCACTCTCCAGTGTCCAATGATTAGCAGCTCATCTTCCAGATCAAAACAGATCTAAGGAACTACTTCTCAGGAGTTTTTAAAGTTTTGTTTTCCTTTTTAATGACAATCTAAATACCCATGAATATGTGCATTTTTTGATAGAATCATATTATCATCATTACTCCCCAAATGAGTCTTAACAATTAAGTATTTCCAAAGGCCAAGAAAGAAATTATTATTATCTATTAAAGATCCCACACAGAACTTGCCCAAGGAAAACAAAACACAGGATTGATAACTGCAAAAAGATCCCAAATCCCAATGTTACACAATAATACACTTGGCCAGTTACGTGTATTTGCATCCTCTTATTTTATCAGCTATAAAAGAATGCTAATGCATATGACACTTACCTTATCCTTTTCATGAGGAAGGAGAGACACAGGAGGTAGACAGGAAAGAGACTCACAACTCTCTTTCCCATCCACATTGGCCGCTTTAGTGTTGAGCCGATAAAGAGGTCCATCTTTAAGCAGTCTGCCGTGGCCAACGGCACGTTTGACAGCCAATCGTAACTGCTGGTGAAAGACAGAGGCAGCACTGCCCCCAAACAATGCAGACACATCTTTCTGACCTTTCAAAAAACGTTCAATGTTCTTCAAGGTTGAACCGCTGGACTCGGCCAAGCCTTCAACTGCCCGTTTGATAAGTTTATTCCAATCCACATTTTGTTTGCCATCCAACTTTCCATGGTTCCGAGGTTTAGGAAGTGCTATTCGCCCAGGATTATCAGGATCTTTGTAGGAGTTGAGTCCTTTATTCGAGACTTTTAAAATTGTTCCATCTTTAACACTCAACTCCAATTGTTCTAAAACAGTTTTCCGGTCCAAGCCATGGGATGAAGACACTGCATTGCATATCCTCTCTTCTGAAGGACGCTGTTTTTGCTTCTTCACTTTTTTGATCGCCTCCAAAATCCACTCCGTATACAGCGGGTTAGCGAGTTTTACCATGGTGAAGAATTCTGTATATCCATAGAGTCGTTATCCCTTATCCTGATGCTGAATATGTTTCACACCATGGAAAAAAAGATTCTCGGAGGCTGGGAACCAGTTAACCATAGCATACAGTTTTCTGGCCTGAATCCCTCCTCCTTTCACAAACAAGAACACTTTTCCCGCTTCTAATTCAAAAACCAAACCAATCTAATGTTTGAAAAGTCTGCATACTTCCCAACAGATTCCTAAAGAGCACTGCAGAGACAGGTTTTCCTCAAAAGGTAAGAAATCAAATCATTTCACAGCTCCTTTTGCCGTCCAGACTCACATGAGAAAAATGTGTACCTTACACCTGAAAGAAAATCAAAATGTCAGTTTTCTATCAGTCTACCAAAAAATATAGGAATACATGTACACATAGAGGTATCAAGTATTTAATAAGCACCTATGCACCTGGCACAGTGTTGATATGCTATAAGAGATATAAGATACTTGTAGTAAAAATGTTCCAAATCAATCCTGTACATGAACAAAAGGCAATCACAGTTTGGAAACAATCACTGACTTCAGGGTTCTGTGAGGGGTGCCAGCTATGCTATCTTCTACAACCCTTGCTCACCAGTCTGTGAATTGCAACTGAGCTGTTCCTTGGTATCTTCCCCCAAGAAAACATTCGATACTTCAGCAAATGGACAGATTTAGTGGAAAGAATCCTGCAATGAAATCAACAGTGAATCTTCCATCTCCAAAAAATTCCAGAATTTTTAGACTGGTCAAATCACTCGATCAACGCATAGTCAAACTTTAAAAAATTTTTACTACTTCACACATTAGAAGAAACAGGAAACATGATTTATACATAACAAGTACAAATCTTGTTTCAAGTATATTATTATGTGTCCTACATGGAAGCAACAAAAACGCTGAATACAATTAAGCTAAAGTAATAAAAGCCAAATCAAGAAACTCTTTTTTTAGTACTTCTGGATGCTTAAAATACTTTACAAGCAATAATTTAATTTATTCTGAACTGCTATAAAAACTCAGAAACTATGAACCATCAGCTAGACATGACCTAATAGCTGTCAAAAGGTAAAATTCAGAGATGATAAGTGATTTGTCCAGGATCAAAGAAATATCAGTGATAAGGATGGGGAATAACCTCCACGTCAACCACAGAGTACAGAAAAAAATTAATGATTAGTTTTAACATATAATAAGGGAGAGAGAAGTCACACAAATATGACTACAAGACTCCTAGGCTGCTGTCCAGACAGGAACATGCCCTACAGTAACAGATAAAAACATGACAATATTACCGCTAGTGAGACAAATTCTACATTATTCTGGAAATTGTAAAAATAATACATCTTAAATCTAAATCAGCATCCTCTAAAAAAAAGCGCTTTACTTACAGGTAAGGCTGAAAGTACTAGTATTACTTTAGTGTCTCATCAAGCACTTAGAAATTACACTGTAAATATAAATAGAAAAAAAATGGGTCGTCAGCAACTATTCTTAATTATGACGTCAAAGTTACAAGGAGATAAAGGATTACCTCCAAGAGACAAAGTACTGACATACATACAATAAGAAAAATATTCAATTCTCCTGAACCGACTAGGATTTTTTTTTTGGCTGAGAAACAGAAGTTTCTCATTTCAGTGAGGCCAAAAAAAAAAGTTGTAGTATCAGTCCAGTAAATGTGATTATGTGTATGTCGGGGCTAACATAAAGAAGCTTCTGATTGATTTTAAGAAACTGAGAAACGACCAGCTAATCAACCATGCAGGTAAGCGAATGACAACTACTGGGATCTTCCAACAAGGGTTTTCTTTCCATGCCTTCTGAATGCAGAGTGTCTCAAAACTTGGATGTTTTGAGATGTACATCTGAAAGTACAGCACTTCACCTGGAAGAGCATCACCACTCAAAGTCCCTCCCCGCTAACCCCCACTTTTTAAAGAAAGAGGGAAGGACAACTTTACAAACTTTACATGGCAAGCCCTGCTACTTGCTAACGAGTCATTTTGCCCTTCCCATCAGGTCAAAACAGAAACAGAGGAGTAAGTTAACAATGAAATCACGTGGAGCAGCATCTCCCATTCCCAACAGCACCGGAGCTCCCGATGCCCGCGCCCGCCAGAGAGCCTGGCAGCGCCTCTCGGGGCAGGGCATGCCCAGGCTTCCGGGAGGGTCTGACAGGTCGGACAGTTCCCCTCCGAGCCTGAGCTCCGCGCTGACAGGCAGCCCCTGCCCGCCGCCCCCGCCGCCCGCCCGGACCGGGACTGACAGCCCGACAGACACCACAACACACGTGCTGCCTCCTCCGCACCACAACACCCGCCCGCCTGTCACCCGCCCCCCAAAGCCGGGGCCCCCGTCCCCGGACAATCCCAGCCGCGCCGGGCGCCGGGCCGACGACAGGGGAGCCCGGGACTCGGGCGGCTGGCGGGAGGCGAGAGGAGGAGGCAGGGCCGGCGGAGCGGGATTCCCAGGGTAGCCCAGCCCAGCCTGCGGCTCCAAGGCCTGCGCCGCCCGCCCGCCAGCCAGCTCGCTCGCCCGCTCGCTCCCTTCCCCCGGGCCTGGGGCCGGGACCCGGGCCCGGCCGGCGGGTGGCAGGGCGGGTGGCAGGGCGGAAGGCCCGGAAAGCGAGGGTCCGGGGCCGGGGCCTGGGCCAGGCGCAAGCAGCCCGGCGCGCGGAGAAGCGGCGGAGGAAGCCGGACGCCGGCTCGGCGCGAGGGGGCGGCCGTGGCGCCCCGGCCCGAGGCCTGGCGCAGAGCAGCGGGAGGCGGCGCAGGCCGCGGCGGGGCCTGCAGCCGCCCGCGGACTCCGAGGGGCGGCCAGGTGGCTCCCGAGGCGGTTCAGCCGCGGACTCGACGGCGGGAGGCGGCACCGGGTGGCTCCACAGCTACTTACCGAGGCGGTGGAGAGCCTGGATCCCGGGGCCCTGGGCCGGACGGCGGAGATGCCCCAAACTGACACGGCCGCCATCTTGGAGACAGTGAGCTTGGGGCGGGGGGAGGGGAGGCGGGGCGGCGGAACAGCCGCGGGGGAAGGGGGGCGATCGCGAGGGAACGGCGGTCGTGGAGGGGACGGGGGGGCGGGGGTAGAGAGTGGGAAGAGCCGGAAAGGCAGCGGAGGGGGAGGAGGGAGGAAGGGTGAGCGCCAGAGGCGGGGGGAGAGGCCGGAGAGCCGGAAGAGCCGGGAGGGCGAAGGCGCCTCGCAGGGGGGAAGGGCCAGAGGGCGGGGCGTGGCGAGAGGGGGGAAACAGCCGCCTAGAGGGTCACGTGAGGCCGGTACAAAAGGCCAAAGCCAAAGTGGGAGGAGGACTTAGCGTGGAGGAGACCAACAATTGGGATCTCTTTTCTACCTCCAAATCCCCTTTAGGTAGTGCGGGGACTAAGAAAAAGAAAGAGTTGATTTCTCTCCTGTTTAACAGATGGGGAAACTGAGGCATTGAGGGTTGGATTTGGCCTCAGTGGCACTGCAAGCAGCCGTGTACCCAGGATTCGCGCTCCAACACTGCCACAAACTCATTTACAAAGTGCTTTCCTCCCGGCCCTTTGAAAATGAAGATGCAAATGTTATCATCCCCATTTTACAGGTGAGGAAATTGAGGCCCTAGCTCAAATGCTTTGTTTAAGGTGAAGTCTAGCCAGGACTAGAACGGAGTTCTGACTCCCAAACCAATGCTTCTTGCATTCAAGTGCCCTTCCTCTCTGCCCTGGTGTACCCTCTACCCTGGTCTCTTCTCGGTTTTCCCGCTACCCAAAATGATTCTCCTTATCAGGACTTTGGGATTGGGTCTATTTCCTTCATTGCCCCATTCCAGTGGCCCTCCTCCTCCATGCAGGTTCCTTTCTCTGCCGGTATGTGATCTCTCACTCCTCCCAGCACCCTCCCGCCACGAACTTTATTCCTAATTCTCACAAATGAGTCTGTGAGGTGCAGCACGGTATATAGCCTACCTCCGATTGCAACTGCCTTTGTATCTATCTTAGCCTCACCGTTAATTGCAGTTTCCTTGAAAGCAAAGCCTATAGTACGATCCAATGGAAAATACACTTGAACTTGGAATTCTAAAGCTTGGGTGTGCATAAGGCACTTACGAATAGGGAAACCCATTTTTGAGACCAAATTTCCTCTGTACAGTAAGGATAATATGACTTGCTGCTCCACAGTTCACAGGGATGTATCAAATAAGATGTCAGTGAAGTGATTTGCAATCATAAAGTGGTCAGTAAAAGCCAGCTACTATTATATTCCTGACTAGAAATTCTAGCACCTGGGGTAAATTCAGTTGGGAGAGAGGGAAGCTATGAGGTGGGTGGGTGGGTGTTGGGGGTGAGAAATAGTCTAAGGTAAATTAACTCATATCAAGTTGTAATAAACTAGAACAGAGGTAACAGAGGAGGCTGGAGAATTGGGAGGCAAGGGTCATGGAGCTGACCATGAGCTAGATATTGAACTTACTGGGAAAGAGGAAGAGTGTCCTAGAGATCCATAAAGGACAGCAAAAAGGGTCTGTACAGACTGGAATAAATTTTAAAGTTTGAAAGGTGTTTGCTGAGTGATGGAGGAAGAGGGAGGATCTGAAAGACACGGGGGAAGGAGGAAGAAGTATGCTAACTCCTCCTCCTGGTCCCTGAGCATTAGGGAGTGTGATAGAGGGAGCAAGCCAGCCCTGGAGAGAGTGCCAAGAGTCTTCAGGGGAAGGCTAAGTTGAAGAAAAAGGGAGATGTCTGAGAAGAATCAATCTAGCATCATTAATTTAGAGCCGGAAGGGACCTCAGAGGTCACCTACTCTATCTACCTTCCTCACTTTAAAGATGAGGATACCAAGGCCCAGACAGTTGAAACGTGCCAGAGGGGTCACAAGCAGGGAGTGGCAAAGACAGGATTCAAACTCAGATCCTCCATCTAAATCCAGTGATTTTTCCAGTGCTCCAAAATAGGAGGTCACTCTCCCTCCTCATCAAGCATTCTGCCCCTCTTGGTTCTCTCCAAGCTGGAATGCTCGCTGTCCCCAGGACACCACCTTCCATTTCTGTTCTTTAGCAAAGACGGTCTGTCCTCCTTAGTTAGAAAGCGCTCCATGCTCACTACAGCTCTGTAGAATCAATCCCTAGATTTCCTCAAAAATCAGCTCATGTTACTTCCTAAAGAAAGCTTTCCTGACACCACAGTTGCTACAGCCCTCCCCCCAAAGCATTAACTGAGGATATTTTTTGCATTTTATTTTTATGTACATATTTCCCATCCCCCCCCGAATGTAAGCACCTAAGGGACCCCCTGATTAATCTTTGTCTATTTTGCTGATGTCCTACACATAGTAGTTGCTTAATCAATATTTGTTGAATGAATGAAGGGAGAGCAGAAGATGGTTATTAGGGAGAGCCTAGAGTTCAATTTACTCAGGTGACAGGGGCTCAGTGTGGTCAAAAGCAAACCACCTAGGGGTGGCTACCAGTCCTGGATTCAGGAGGAGTTCAAATTCGGCCTCAGACACATAACACTTACTAGCTGTGTGACCCTGGGCAAGTCACTTAACCCCCATTGCCAAAAAAAAAAAAAGCAAACCACCTTCCACACTGATCTCACACTAATCTGTGAGTCTGGCTTGGGGTCCCCAGGCCAGGTAGCTTATCCTGGGTGAGTCATCAGTTCTAGTTGGAGTTGGGAGGAGGGAGGGTACAGTCTGCCTTATCATGATGAGAAGGGGTCCTTTAAGAGAGCCATGAGGAAGTATTGCATGGGATGGCGACATCTGGCACACTAGCCCAGTAGCCCTGTGTTAGTTCCATCTCTGGCTATTATTATATATCATCTCTCCACCTAAACTCATTTTCTTATCACTCTTGGGGGCACCACCATCCTCCCAGTCACCCAGGCTCAAAAGGTATCATTCTCAACTCTTCGTTCTCTCTCATCGTCCCATATCCAGTCTGTTGTCCAGTCTTGTCAATTCTATCCTTATAACATCTCTCCTACATGCCTCCTTGTCTCTCATGACACTGCCACCATCCTGGTATAGACCCTTCTCTCCTCAAGCCTGTGATATTGCAGTGGCCTGCTGGCTGGTCTCCGCACCTCAAGTTTCTCCCCATTCCAGTCCATCCTCCACTCAGCTGTCAAACTGATCGTCATAAAACACAGGTGTGACTATGTTACCCCTCTCCTACTTAATAAACTCCACGAAAAATTGTCTTTGGCATTCAAAGCCCTTCAAAACCTGGCCCTCTCATACCTTTCCAGTCTTTTTATATTCCCAGGTATTGTGAAGCTCAAATAATGGATGTAAAGCATTTTTCAAACCTGAAAGCACTATATAAATGCCAACTATTATTATTACCCTGCAGTCCCCAGGCCTCTAGTCTAGTGATGATTCCTTGAGCCTTCTATCATTCTCCTGAACTCAAGCAATGTTTATAGAGCAATGCAGGGATGTGGGGGTAAATGTTTAACAACCCACCTTTCTGGGGGAGGGAGGAAATGTATGCATACACACTTTTATGTTTAATCTACATTATTCAAACTTTGTTAAGTCTATGAAATCAATAAAACAATAAATCAAGCCTTGATTTGTAATAACTGCTGATTTCTGAGGTGTAAATACTGGTGCTCAAAATTTAACAGTTGGCTCTCTAGTTAGAGTTGTTCCCAAAGCACCCTTGCTTATATACCTTAAGCCCCTACTCCACCCTAGATATTCTTCAGTCCAGTGACACTGGCTTCCTTGTTGTTCCTCTCATTCCATCTCCCAGCTATGTGCATTCTTGCTACCAGTCCCCCATATCTGGAATTCTCTTCTTCCTTATCTCTGTTACCTGGTTTCTCATCCTTCACTTCCCAACTTCATTCACATCCCAACTAAAATTCTACATCCTACAAGAGGCCTTTCCTGATCCACCTTAATGTTAGCACCTTCCCTCTGTTGATGATCTCCAATTTAACCTGTATGTATCTTATCTATACATAGTTATTTACGTGTTATCTCCTATGTTGAACTATGATCTTCTTGAGAGCAAGGATTAATTTTTTTTTGCCTTTCTTTGTGTTCTCAATGCTTGCACAATGCCTGAGAGAATGTCTTATATTTTTGTTTCATCTCTAATATTATTAATAGTGATAATAACTGACATTTATATACCACTTTAAGGTTGCAAAGTAGTTTACATATATTATTTCATTTGACCCTTACAATAATCCTGTGAGGTAGGTGTTATTATTATGCCCATTTTGCATATTGGGAAACTAAGGCTGAGAAAATAAGGTCGTACACACTAGCTGTGTGACCCTCAGTGAAGAATTCAGACTCACGTCTTCCTGACTCCAGAACCAGTGTTCAATCCAATACATCTCCTAACTCCTTCCAAACTAGCATGGAGCTAAGAATGCAACTCACTAAATAATTGCAATACAATTAGACTTCTAGGCTCTAGCCATTTATTTAACTACTGTCACCCTACCTTTCTTAGTCCCATCTATCCTTCAAGGCCCCACTTACATGTCAGCTTTTCTTTGGAGACTTTTTTGACTGCCCCAGGCACCATTTATCATTTCTTCCTCTGAATTCCTCAAAAATTTATTGTCTACCACTCACCTTGCACTTAATATTTACTACCATATATTGTAGACATTCCCTGTCTCCCCAACTAGATTTTGTTATTCTCACGACAAAAACTGTGTGCTATCGATACACCTTTTTAAATGCACAAGGACTACTTCTACATAGTAGGTCCTCGATAAATGCTCACTACTGATGATAATGGTGATGACAAGGATAGTTGATTATCTACATTCTAATCAAGTTACATGATGAGCTTTACATTGTAATAGAGTTACAATACAATATAAATAAGGGAATAGGAGCCAGGCAAGAAAGTTTTGGCACAAGGAGTATGGCACAAGTAATTTGGTATAATGCTTGCACTGAGTAGACCCTGATCTGATCAAGCAAGAGTTTTCTAAGGATGAGAGAAACATGGGCTTGTTTGTAGGCACCATTGAGGGAGCCAATAGATAGGGAAAGATTGAAGGTTAGAGAAAGAGTAGTAATGTTAGTGGGAACATGACCAAAAAGGAAAATTATAAATGCTGGAGAAGATGTGGGAAAGTTGGAATACTAATGCACTTTTGGTGGAGTTGTGAACTGATCCAACCATTCTGGAGAGCAATTTGAAACTATGCCTAAAGGGCTATAAAAATGTGCCTACCCTTTGACCCAGCAATACTACTTCTAGGTCTATATCCCAAAGAGATCATAAAAATGGGAAAAGGACCCACATGTACAAAAATATTTATAGCAGCTCGTTCTGTGGTGGTAAAGAATTGGAAATTGAGGGAATGCCCATCAATTGGGGAATGGCTGAACAAGTTGTGGTATATGAATGTTATGGAATACTATTGTGATATAAGAAATAATGAGTAAGCAGACTTCAGAAAAACCTGGAAAGACTTGTATGGACTGATATTAAGTGAAGTTAGCAGAACCAGGAGAACATTGTACACAGTAACAACCATGTTGTGCAATGACTAACTTTGATAGATTCATCTCTTCTTAGTGATGCAAGGATCCAAGACAACTCCAAAGGACTCATGGTGGAAAATGCTGTACACATCCAGAAAAAGATGGAGTCTGAGTGCAGATCAAAGCATATTATTTGCTCTTTTTGTGTGTGTGTGTGTGTGTGTGTGTGTGTTTCTCGTGATTTCTCCCATTGGTTCTAATTCTTCTTTACAACATGACTAATGTGGAAGATAAGTTCAATATGAATATATATGTAGAGCCTATATCAGATTGGACACTGTTTTGGGGTGTGGGAAGGGGAGACATGGGGAGGAAATTTGGAACTCAAAATCTTATGGAAATGAATGTTGAAAACTAAAAATAAATACATTTTTTAAAAAAAGACATGTTAGTGGAGACAATCTCATGGAGAAGACATGAGGGGAAAGGATCAAAGATGCATGTGGAGGGGTTTGCCTTAGTGAGGAGAAGGGCCACTTCTTAAGCCAAGATAAGAGTGAAGGAGAAAATAGTAGAAGATGAAATCTAAATGATGTGAGATGAGGAGGAGAGAAGAGGGAGATCTCAGCAAATGGCCTCAATTTTTTCAGTGTAGTATGAATTGAAGTCTTTAGCTGAGAGGGTAGGGGAGAGAGTGCCATGGGAAGATTTAGGAAAGACAAAAAGGGTTTGTGACAGACCATGTGGAAAGTGGGCATATTGATTTGATTTTAGAGGATTTCTGTACTTCAGTGAGGGCCTGGTTGAGATTAGATAGCATAAATTTGTAGTGGACCCAGTCAGCATGGCTTTGTGAGCATAAAGTGGAGGAGTAGTTCTTGGGAACTAAATAGATTAAGGAACTTGGAAGTAGTGATATTTAGGAATGTGTGTTGAGGTCCCCTGGTATGAGGGCAATAGAATCTCTGGGCATAGATAGATAAAAAATGCTAAAATCTAGATTGGGTAATAAATTTGAATAGCACAAACCTCAACAAAGAAAGGTTGATGAATGAAGAGGGAGAGTCTGAAAATGGCAACCAGGAGCAAAGAATTGAGGTTGATAAACTGGAAGACTAAGATATTTGAGGAGATATCAATGTGTTTACTCAAGACCCAAAGGATATGGGTTATGGTGGAGAGGAAGACTGTGAGCCAGATACTGAACTCCCTGAAAAAGGAATGAAAAACGTGGAGGCTAATACTGCACTGGGCAGTATGGACAGACAGAGTGAACTTGTAAAGGGGAGCGGTTGCTGAGTGATGATGACAAAGGGACAGTCTAGAACTGGTAGTAAGGAGCAAGCGGTAAACTTGCTTCTCCATCTGGAAAGTTGGGGAAGCATGAGGGAAGGAGCACCTCAATATCTACTATATTGAAACCTTTACTCATATATCTGCTGCTATCTCTACTACTTTTCTCCACTCTGGCAGGCAATCTTTCCTGAAGGAGCAAGGCACCTGTAGAGAGAAACAGGAGGAAGCAGGTGCCAGTCAAGTCAAATCACCATCACTTTGACCACCACTTCCCCTCAGACCTCAGTAAGAAAGCCCAGGACCCTGAACCCAAGAGCCTTGGTAATAGCAATGCTTCCAGTCCAGTGCCCTCAGCCATCATCTTAGGAAGCAATCAACCTCTGTGAAGATGCAACCTACCATCTGCTCCTGAAGGTGCTACAAGCCACAGCTACTAAGGCCCAGAATAAATAAGTTCTTCCCATCAAAGTCCTTAGAACTGTCAAATGGCTCTACTCTGAGCAGCATATAAGAATTTTGTTCTGAGCCCCAGATACATTAGTAGAAGGTGAGCATGTAGGGCTTAAGGCCATCTTAAATTTTATCTTTTTCTTTATTTCATAGGTTTCCACGGCCAACTGGTGACACGCCTCTCCATTCTTGGTTAGACTGGCACTCAAACCAGTAGATTCAGCCTGACAAGACCTTACTCTAAATTGTTCTAGCTTGGTAAAACCTGCCAGAGCTTATGTTCCACAACATGGCCTTCAAAGACCCAAGGTTGTAGACATATCTCAATTAGGTGACTGAGACTAAGTGGTACATAATAGGAAACCACACCAAGGCCATTTATGAAGTTTACAGAACACTTTCCTCACAAAAGTCCTGTGAAATAGGTAATGTGTTATTGCCCCTCATTTAACAGATGAGGAAACTGAGACACAAAGAGGTTAAGGAGCCATGCAATCTATAAGTGGTAAAGCTAGGACTCAAGGTTAGGTCTTCTGAAGACCAAGTCAGATACACCGAAGCCAGAGTAAACATGATTGATCCCTTAGAATGGTGCTTCTCTTAGCATACTTAATTAGCTATGGGAGGAGTGTGATATTTACAGAGGGATCCTAAATGACCTTCCACTGTGACCAACTACAGGCCTGTCTTAGATACTGTGAAATGTGAAATCACCATTTCTTTCTGTTGACCTCTAGTAAAACATATATTGAGTGATTCATTGATAGGATTCCATGAAGTTTTTTAACACAGGACAGTAAAAATGTTAAGGCAAAGGAAAATCAAATAACCCCTTTACTAAAGAAAATTGAGGCCATTTACTAAGAGCTCCCTCTTCCTCCTCATCTCATAATCACATATCACTTGGATATCTTCCCCTACTACTTCCTCCTCCACTTCTGTCTTAGATGAAGAGGTAACCCTCTCTCCTTACCAAGGCAAACTTGTCTACACGCATTCTTGATTCCATCGTCTTACATCTTTAGAAAATTGTCCGTACTAACATCCTCACTCTCTTTCTCTCTCTCTCTCTCTCTCTCTCTCTCTCTCTCTCTCTCTCTCTCTCTCTCAATCTCTCTTTCTCTCTTTCTCTCTCTCTCTCTCTCTCAATCTCTCTCTCTCTCTCTCTCTCTCTCTCTCTCTCTCTCTCTCTCTCTCTCTCTCTCTCTCTCTCTCTCTCTCTCTCTCTCTCTCTCTCTCTCTCTCTTTCAATTTCTCCCTGGATCCTTCTCTAATGCTTACCAAAATGTCCATGTTTCTCCCATCCTTAAAAAAGTTTTGCTTAATCTGACCAGCCCAGCTAGCAATTGTCCAATATCTCACCTCTCCTTTCCAGATAAATTCCTTGAGAAAGTAATCCACATTAGGTGCCTCCATTTCCTTTTCTCTTAGTCTATTTATTTAAAAGTTATATGTATTTTTTTTCAATCTGCAAAAATCTGCCTTCTCTCTCTCTCTCAACCTAACCACCTGCCCCCCCGAGTTGAGTACAAAAGAAAACCCCTCATTCTCCTTGACAACTCGTTCTTCCATAATACTCTCTTCTTTCTGGGTTTTTGGGACCCCACTCTCTCCTGGTTTTTCTCCTACCATGTTGACCACTCCTCTGTTTCCTTTGCTGGATCCTCTTCCAGATCACACCCTCTAACTGTAGATGTCCATCATCATTCTGTTCTGGGCCGTTTTCTCTTCTCCCTCTACTACTCCAATTGGTAATCTCATCAGCTCCCAAGGATTTAATTACCATCTCTATGTCGATGATTCTCAGATGTACCTATCCTGCCCCAGACTCTCTGCTGACTTCCAGTCTCACATCTCCAACTGCCTTTCAGACATCTGATGTCTAGTAGACATTTTCAACTCAATATGTCCAAAACAGAACTCAATACCTCTCCCACCCCCAGACCGTACTGTAGAGGGCAACACCATCTTCTCAGTCCCTCAGGCTCCCAACCTAGGAATCATCTTGGATTCCTCACTGTCTGTTACCCCACCCCAATATCCATGCTGTTGGCAAGCGCTATCAATTTCACTTTTGCCACATCTCTTAAATATACCCTCTTCTCTCCTCTGACACTGCTACCACTTAGGTGCCAGCCTTCATCACCTCATGCTTGGCTCATTGCAATAACGTTCTAGTGGGTCTGCCTCCCTCAAATCTCTCCCCACTCCAATCCATCCTTCATTCACCCAGTACAGTGATTTTCCTAAAGTACAGGTCTAAACATGTCACCTGCCCCCCCCTTCAATAAATTCTAGTAGCTGCCTGTTGCCTCCAGGATCGAATACAAAATGTTCTATTTGGCATTCAAAGCCCTTCATAGCCTAGCCCTGTCCTATCTTCCCAGTCTTTTTATACTTTATTCCCTAATATATCAAGTGGCACTGGCCTCCTGGCTGTTCCACGAATAAGACACTCTGACTCTTGGCTCAGGGCACTTTCCCTGTCTGTTGTCCATGCCTGGAATATTCTCTCTCCTTTGCTCTGACTACTGACCTACCTGTCTTCCTTTAAGTCCCAACTAAAACCTTATCTTCTACAGGAAGCCTTTCCCAATTCCTCATAATTCCAGTGGTTTCTTTCTGTTCATTATTTCCTATTTCTTCTGCATTTATAGCTTGGGTTTTTATATATTTATTTGTATGTTGTCTCCTCCATTATAATGTAAGCTCCTTGAGGGTAAGGACTGTCTGTTGTCTCTTTTTGTATCCCCAGAGTTTAGCACAGTGCCTGGCACATAGTAGGTGCTTCATAAATCTTTATTGGTTGATTGACTGATAAAAGCCTTGCCACAAACATGAACAGTGAAGCAAAACAAGCTTTTGTATTGGCTGTAACCAAAAAAAAGTCTCACTCTATACTCAGAGTCCCTCACCTCACTATCAGGTGAGGGTAGCGTACCTCGTCATAAGTTCTCTGGAATTGTGGTTGGTCATTACACTTATCAGAGTTCCTGATTCTTTCAAAGTTGTTTGTCTTTACCGTGATGTTATCATTGTATAAATTGTTCTTTTGGTTCTGTTCACTTTCTGTTTGCATCTGTTTATACAAGTCTTCCTAGGTTTCTCTGAAACCCTTCCCTTCATCATTTCTTATAGCATAATAATATTCTATCCCATTCTATACCATAACTTGTTCAGCCATTCCCCAATTGATAGCTACCCCTCATATTCCCATTTTTTGCCCCCTCAGAAGTGCTATCAATATATTTGTACATCCTTAGTATGAGTTTATTTTGCTTAGGACTAATCCCTGCCTTATTATTCCTTCCCTCTTCTTTTCCCCCTTTCCCTCTTATTTTCCTGTTGAGTGAAGTGTATTTCTATTACTAACTGTGTGTGTGTGTATATGTGTACACTCTTTCCTCTTTTGACCAATTTAGATGAAGGTAAAGTTCAAGTGTCAGCTGCTCCTCACCCCACAACCTCCTGCTTGTTTGCATAGATATTCATTTGTGCACCCTGGTAATGTGAGATGCTTTTCCCTAACTTTCCTTTCCCTTCCCCATTAATGTATTTCTCTTGCCCTCTCTTTCTAGTCTTCTCACAAGATCATTGAGACATAATAAAACCACTCCCAGGCCTTGTCTAATGAAACTCCCTCCATGGCCCCTAATGATTATAGAGTTCTGGAGAAATATATCTAAAATCTCCCCTTATGAGAATATAAACACTTTATCTTTGTTTAGTACCTTATGATTGCTTGCTTATGTTTCTCTTGACTCCTGTGTTTGAATTTCAGAGTCTTTATGTGGCTCTGGTCTTTTCATTAGGAATTCTTGGAAGTCCTCTATTTAATTAATGAACTGTTTTCCCCCTGTAAAATTATACTCAGTCTTGCTTGGTACGTTATTCTTGGCTGTAAGCCTATATGAGCTGCCTTCTGGAATATCATATTATATGCTCTCCTCTGTTTTATAGTGGTGAATGCTAAATCATGTATAATTTTGACCATGGATCTTCAGTCCTTGAATTATTTCTTTCTGGCTGCTTGCAGTATTTTTTCTTTGACCTGTAAGCTCTGGAATTTGACTATCATGTTCCTGGGAGTATTCTTTTTGGAGTTTCTTTCAGAAAATGGTAGATACTTTCCATTCCACTTTACCTTCTAGTTCTAAGAGATCTGGCCAGTTTTCTTTCGTGATTTCTTGAAATATGATGCCTAGGTTCTTTTTATTGGTGATGGAATTCAGGTAGCCTAATATTCTTAAATTTTTTTCTCCTTGATCTGTTTTCCAGGTCAATTGTTTTTTGCTATGAGATAACTTACATTTTCTTCTATTTTTAAAAGTCTTTTGGTTTTGTTGTAGTATTCCTTGTTGCCTCATGGAGTCATTGATTTCTATTTGGTCCATTCTAATTTTCAAGGTGTTTTTTTCCCTTGGGCAAAGTTTTGAATCTCTTGAGCCAAGTTATTATTTTAAACTCAGTTAAACTATAAACTACTTAAACTATAACTGAGCTAATTATATTTCCTTTCTCAAGCCCTCCTTTCTTCCTAATTTCCCTATCACCATTGAAGACATCAGCATACTACCAGTCATCTAGCTTCAAAACCTAGGTGACATCCTCAATTCCTTACTCCCTCTCACCTCACATATCCAATCAGTCTCTTAGTCTTGTTATTTCTACCTTTGTAACATATCTGGTACATCCCCCCTTCTTTCCTCTGACGTTGCCATCATCCTATGCAGGCTCTTATCACCTCATGCCTGGAATATAGCAAAAAGCATTGTGATTGGTCTGCCTGCCTCAAGTCTCTCTCCACTCCATTCCATCCTCCACTTAACTATCAAAGCAATCTTCCTAAAGAACAGGTCTGACTATGTCACCTCCCCTACCGCTTTTTGGTAAACTCCAGTAGCTCCCAATTACTTCCAGGATTAAATAGAAATCCTCTGTTTGGCTTTTAAAACCCTTTATAACTGGAATGTCTCCCACCTTTCCTGTCTCCCATCTCCCCATTCCATGCCATTTTGCTGGCTGTCCCCCCCCATGCCTTGGAATGCTGTCCCTCCTCATCTCTGCCTCCTAGCTTCCCTGGCTTCCTTCAAGACTTAGCTCAAATCCCACCTTCTCCAAGAGGTCAAGTCCCCCACCCCACCCAGTCCACATCCCTATCCCCACCACTAGTGCCTTCCCTCTGAAATTACTTCCAGTAATTCAAATATAACACGCATTTATTAAATGCCTACTATATGCCAGGCACTGTATTAAGTGCTGGGAATACAAAGAAAGGAAAAACAGTCCCTGCTTTCAAGGAGCTCACAGTCTAATGGGAAAGGATTATGTAAGCAACTGTGTACAAACAAGGTATATACAGAATAAATTGGAGATAATATTAGAAGGAAGGTACTAGCAATGGAGGGAACCAGAAGCTTAGAGGGACCAGAGCTTAGGAGTTTAGGAGGCCTACGGCCTTGGATTATATTAATGCATAGTCTAAAAAGTGATGCTTTTGACTTAGTTACTTAAAGTCCAAAAATTCTGGAAGTCCTTTCCAGGGCCTTGGTGGGGTGGGGGGCTGGGCAGGGAGGTACTGTGTTTGGACTGGATTAATTGCAGTAGTGAAGGTCATTATAACCAACCAACCTTATTGTCATGAATTCATAGAATTGCAAAGTAGGATGAGACCTTGGAAATCACCTAAATCCAAATCCTATCTAAAGCATGGGTCTGGTCCACAATATCCATAATAAGTGGTTAGCCTAGCCTTCTATTTAAAAGAACTATGACCAAAGGGCTATAAAAATATGCATACCCTTTGACCCAGCAATACCACTTCTAGGTCTATATCCCAAAGAGATCATAAAAATGGGAAAAGGACCCACATGTACAAAAATATTTATAGCAGCTCTTTCTGTAGTGGCAAAGAATTGGAAATTGAGGGGATGCCCATTAGTTGGGGAATGGCTGAACAAATTGTGGTATATGAATGTAATGGAATACTATTATGCTATAAGAAATGATTAGCAGAATGACTTTAGAAAAACCCAGAGAGACATATAAGAACTGATGCTTAGTGAAATGAGCAGAACCAGGAGAACACTGTACACAGTAACAGCCACAATGTGCAGTGACTAACTTTGACATATTGTCTCTCAGCAATGCAAGGATCTAAGACAACTCCAAAGGACTCATGAGGGAAAATGCTGTCCACATCCAGAAAAAGAACTATGGAGGGTCAGCTAGGTGGTGCAGTGGATAGAGCACCGGCCCTGGATTCAGGAGGACTGGAGTCCAAATCTGGCCTCAGACACATAACACTTACTAGCTGTGTGACCCTGGGCACAACAACAACAAAAAAAAGACTATGGAGTCTGAATGCAGATCAAAGCATATTATTTGCTCTCTTTTTTCTTTTTTTTTTTGTGTGTGTTTCTTCTTTCTCGTGGTTTTTCCCATTGGTTCTAATTCTTCTTTATAAAATGACTAATGTGAAAATAGGTTCAATATGAATGTATATGTAGAGCCTATATCAGATTGCATGCTGTCTTGAGGTGGGGGGAGGGGAGAGATAGGGAAAAAATTTGGAACCTAAAATCTTTGGAAGTGAATGTTGAAAACTAAAAATAAATAAATAAAATTTAAAAAAATAAATAAAAGCTTTTAGTGGTATAATTCTTTACTGTTATTCTTTCCTCCCTCCCCAACTCCTCACCCCAAAACTAGCCATTTTGTTAAGAATTTTTTTCCTTATGAGGAGTGATAAGTAATATGGTAGATGTAGTACTAGATTTAGAGTTAAGACGCCTAAATTCAAATATAGCCTCATGGGATCATAGACAAGTCATTAACATTCTCAGAACCTCAATTTCCTTCTCTATGAAATGGGAATAATAATACTATATCTATCTTGCAGGGCTGCTGTCAGGAGAGTGCTCTGCAAATCTTAAAATGATATATAAATACAGCATTTTAGGTTATTAGTGAATTATGAGTAATATTGAACAAAAACCTGTGTCCCCATAACATCTATCCATTAGTCCTATTTCTGCCTTCCAGGGTAAAGCAGAACCAATCTTATCTCCCTTCACTGTGAGCACTATGACTGTGGGACAGAGCCAAGCCAAGGCATTTGTGAACCCCAAACAAGGTTGGAAAATTGCGCCCAAGTAGGTTATTGTCCCCCAGAGGTTTTGAGCCTTCAGTGTAACACCAGTAACCTGAATTATCACAAAATGCTTACCTATGTGCCATGGAGAGCAGGATTTCTTGGCATTAAAAAGATGTGCATTTATTAAGAGTAATATTAAAGAATATTCTTCATTGTGCCCTCTTAGCCACCTAGAGTGTCCTAGGCAACTGCTTCACTATGGGTTATAGTCGGAGCTTGAAAAAAAATTATGATGAATTTTTATTGCATTTTAACTATATTGCTTGTAATAAAATTTGTCTTGTATGATTTCTTTCTAGAGTCACCAACTAAATTAAACATGTGACTAGATAAAAGTAGGTGACACCTGTTTTTCACCATTGGGGCACAGAGTACTATAGAGGAAGGATAAAAAGAAAAAATTGGCTTTGATCCTACAACTGCAACCTAGGTAATAATCTCCCTGTAGAGAAGACCTGCTGCTATAGATATTTTAAAGCCCCAAAACAGTGGAAGATTTGTAAACAATTGATGGTTAGACGTGATGACGGCAATCTGAAACACACATCCATATGAACAGCGGCGCATGATAGAATGAGTTTACTAATTCAGAGTCTAACACTTTCTCTTTCTTACTATCCTCCCTCCTTTTCACTCTACAATTTCTATTTATCTGTGTCCAGGCAATTTAAACCACGACCTTGGCTACCAACTTGCTTCAGCCCTCCATGGGGACAGAAACCAAGACCCTGAAACCAAGAGCCTTGGAAATTGCCAGTGCCCCCCAAACCTGCTTGTGGTCCAACTTCTACAGCCATCCAAGAGGGGAGACATTCCTCCTTATCATGACCAACAATAATTGCTGATGATCCACCACCAACAGGCAGAGGAGTTCTGGGCGTGGCAGGGCTGCTTCCAGCCCAGCCCTCACAGCCATCATCTGGGCAAGCAACTCCTGTGGAGAAGGGGTCAGCCATCTTCAGCAGTGGCCAAACAACTGCCACACATGGGTCAGCTAGCCCAACCTAGCTAAAACAGCAAGCAAGAGGCAGGAGGCAGCACGTGCCAAGCATCACCAGCACTTGGACTACCACCTCCTCTCAGCCCCTGATGGGACCAATCCAGGAACCTGAACCCAAGAGCCCTAGGAAGAGTGACATTAAATAATGGCATGATTAAAGACGCGTTAACATCTGCTTTGCTGCTGCACCCTAAAGACTGTGGCGTCTTTCCATGTGACTTGCCATTGAAACCTTTCAGATGTGTTTTCTGTCCCATTAGAAGGTGATTTCCTTGAAAGCAAGAACTACTTTTCTATTTGTATCTCAGCACTTAGTACAGCGTTTTGCGTAGAGTGAGCACTTAAATGCTTTCTTAATCCATTCATTCATCTTTCACATTTCTTCTTCTACCTGTCAGTCTTTTTTCCTCCCCTCTGACTTTATTCTACTCTTACCCTTTTCTTTCTTCTTTTCTGGCCCCCAATCCTTTAATGGACTGTAATATGGAATTGAAGATTATTTTGAGATGTGATTTGTATTTATTGAATCCAATTTAAATTTCCCATTCTTGATTTGAAAGTCAAGAAAAATTTTCTTAAAACAAAACTAGTTTAAATTGTGTTTAAACTTAACATTACTTTTTCCCTGTGAGTTAAAAAGAGAAATGATAGAATAGTTATTCTGGGATACCTTCATGGGCTTACTACCCTTTTTTTAACCGTAGAACAAAAAGAAAAAAAAATTTGATTGAACATTGAATTGCAAGTCAAAATACTAATCTCATAATGTAACAGAGACAGGATAGGGTAATGCAGCAATCCTCAGACTTTTTGATCTCAGGACCCCTTTACACTCTTAAAAATCATTGAGGATTCACACACATTCACACACACATATACACATGAAGAGCTTTTGTTTATGTGGATTATATCTATCAATATTTACCATATTAGAAATTAACATGTCAGTATTATTACAAAAATTAGTTTTGACCTTGAAGACTCCCGGAAAGGACCTAAGGGACCCCAGTGGTCCCCAAATCACACTTTGAGAAATACTAGTATAGTTGATAGCGAGCTGACCTCGAAGTACAGAAGACGTAGGTCTGAGTCTTGCCTCTGACATGTCCTGGACAAGTCACCTAATCTCTCAGAGTCTGAGCCATTCTCTAAATATAGAAGAAGAAGAGCTGATCTGCATTGGTAGAGGTAGAAAAAAAAATCAGTCACCCCCAAATACTTTAGATGCTATGATTCAGATCCACATGAATGTTCACTAAATAAAATTTGATAATAAATGACAGCACTACTTCCTTTAGGGAAAACTGCTCTAGATGTAGAGCTGGCCTCTTTTGGCATATTTTGGCAGTTAGCATCTCTATATCTCAGGTTTTTCATTTATTAAATGGTCATGAATTAACTAATTAATGAAAAAAGCATTCACCTACCACGTGCAAAGCGCCATGCAAAGTGTTGGGGCTACAAATAGAAAAGCAAGACAGTCCCTGATCTCGTAGAACTCGCATTCTAATTCTCTCCTATCTATAACATGATGAAAAAAGTGCTGGACATGGCATCCAAAGGCCTCCTTTCAATACTCGATGATTGGGTGATTGGGCAAGGCATGCCACCTCACTGACCGTAAATTTTTCTCTCTGTAAAATGGGGATAACACTGTGATGTACTGCCTACGTCACGGGGTTGTCATGAGAAAATTGCTTTGTAAACCATAAAACACTGTAGAAATATGAGCTGTTATTTCTAGGAATTATGTGAAAATTAATGAGAATATTTCTAAGGTACTTTCTGCTTTATGGAAAAATAAAATATAAAGACATTGTTATTCACTTCTATAAATTAAGCTGAACATTATATGCTAGGGAATATAGTAAAATTTCTTGATTCTCATCCTATAAAGTGATGGATCTATGAATTTTTGTCAGCATTCTAGTTCCAGACTAGAAGTGTTTTGCCTCTTACCATTTGACCATGGGCAAATTCCTTCCCTTCCCTGGACCTTAACTTCCTAATCTGTAAAATGAAGAGGTTGGACCAATTGATCTCTAAAGGCCCATCCAGCACTAATACTCTGTTTTTCATTGGAGCCCATGGCACTCTTCCACCAGCACACATTTCAACCCCTCTGCATCTTCCCATTCTATGTGACTCTTGCCATGTCTTTCCCTAAAGCCTTCACAGAAGATGATGTTTACTGGAGTGGCTGTTCCAAATCTTTTCTGTCTTCAAGTCCTTAGCTACATCTTCATCCTTCTCTCTCTTAGCAGAAAACCCAGAATGCTACTTAACCCAGAAGATTTAAGCCATCCTTATGAGTGCCTTCATATTTCCCATTCTACAACTTAAGAACCCTTCGTCCCTACCCTCATTTAATTTAATCTCATAGGAGGTATTCCCTCTCTTTGCTAAGGTTAACACTTCCCCAACCCTAATTTTGATCCCATTCCTTCCTATCTCCATCAGGACTTTGCACCATTAGCCATATCCTCTCACTGTCTTCTCATCAATATCTAGCTATTTGTTCCATCTGCAATATCTGAAAGCATGCTTAGGTCTCCTCAATGCTTAGAAAACCCTCCATTACCATTACCATTACCATTTCCCCAAGCCATTTTTCTACATCTTTCTTCCCAAAGTCTTAGAAAGACTAGCCTATACTTTTTTTTTTAGGCAATTGGGGTTAAGTGACTTGCCCAGGGTCACACAGCTAGTAAGTGTCAAGTGTTTGGTCTGAGGCCGGGTTTGAACTCAGGTATTCCTGACTTCAGGGCCGGTGCTCTATCCATTGCACCACCTAGCTGCCCCCTAGCCTATACTTCTTGAATGGATGGATGGATGGATGGATGGATGGATGGATGGATGGATGGATGAAAGAAAAAGCATTAAGTGCTTACTGTGTGCCACACATGGGAATACAAATAGAAAAAAAGTGGAGAGGGCTTCTGCTCTCAAAGAGCTCATGATATAATTGGAAGAAACAACACATGAAAGAAAGTTCAACTGCAAGATCACTCCTAGTTTCTACTTCTTCACCACTCATTCACTCCTCCCCGGCTTATTATTTGTCTTCTGATAATACCAGCGCTCATTTGGAACTGTTCTCTTAACTGATTACTAACCTGATTACTTACTCCATTGGCCTTTTCTCAGCCCTCATCATCCTTGACTTTTTTGTAGTATTTGACTCCTCCTGAATACTCTTTCCTCACAGGGCTTCTTGAACACAACTCTCTCCTAATTTTCCTCCTACTCATTGGACTGTTCCTTCTTAGTATCCCTCACTGGTTCTTCATCTTTCTACCACCCTTTAAGTATGGTGTCCTCCAAGTTCTAGTCTAGCTATCTTTATGCAGGTGACTTCTTAACCTATAATCCAGCTATAATATTTCTCCTGAACTTCAGAACCTCATCTTCAATTACTTGTTAGTGTGATCCATGAACCAGGGACCCATGATCTGTGTTCAGAGAGTCTGGGTTCCAGTCTGGGAGTCCACCCAAAAAAGATCACTTAGGCTTAGGCTCATTATGCCCTAACTCAGAGTTTCTGCTGTATAATCCTGCATCTTGTGTCTAAGTCTTCACAGATATGGACAACAAAGTCCCCCCAGATCCTCAGCACTCAAGGCAAAACTACAACTGTCAGGTACAACAGAATCTTTATTCTACCCATAGAAAAGTCAAAGGACTCACAGGAGCCCATGAACAATAAACATAATCATTTTCCCTCTCCAATGAATCCTACTTTTTTCAGGGTCCTAAAGTTTTCCACAATAGTGCTATTATGAGGTTTAAAGGAAAGTGAACTTGAAGCTGCTAGACAATTTCCCTACAATCCAGTATGTCCCTCATTCACTCCACAGAGACCATCAAGATGGGGGTCTAGAAAGATGGTTCCTGACCAATTGAATGCCCAAGCCTAATTGATAAAATCACAGAAAGGAACATGTAACAGAGAGATGGGTATTGCACAGTGTTAATACATCAAAATGAAGTAGAAAGATGGAATTAGAAGGGCAGCTGGCCATTGGCTGGATAATCCAAGTGGTCTTTAAAAAAAAAAAAGTTAAATCTTCCAGCCTTGGAAAACATTAAGTCACAGTCAAGGCAGGATCAGCTTTATATGATTGTATAACCCCTGCATCTCTACCAAAAGACAAGTGGTGGTGGTAGAAGGAAGCCAGAGTATTTTATATTTCACCAGTACAAGACACATACTTAGAAGGGAGGAAAGACACAAACACAGAAGAGTCAGGGCAGGAAGCAGCTTCAAGGATCATTACCTCTAGCAGCAGAAAAGAGAGCCAACTATTGATTCAGGAGAGAACTAGTCCTAGCAGCATAGAATATCATTGTGGAGTGGAGCAGACTCAGGGACCTGCCCAGTAAAGACTTTGTACCATAGGGGAATTGTATGGAGATACCATGATAAGAAAAAGGACATTAGGGGGCAGCTAGGTGGCGCAGTGGATAGAGCTCTGGCCTTGGAGTCAGGAGGAAGTGAGTTCAAATCTGACCTCAGACACTTGACACTTACTAGCTATATGACCCTGGGCAAGTCACTTAACCCCAATTGCCTCAGCAAGAAGAAGAAAAAAAGGACATTAGGCCACTGCAACACCAGAGGTCTTCACCATATATGTTGCCTATGTGTGTGCCTCATTCTAAGAATATTCTAATATTTTGCCCACTCTTCCACACTGATGCTGTGTACATTTGTGAGAGAATGTGCCCCAGGTTCGTGAGGGTAATGTTTTGTCCTGTTGTTACTATTCTTACTATCCCATTTTAGTAAATGTCTTTGCTTTGATTTAATTATATCTACTCATTGAATATTAAAAGTAAACTCATTGATGGGGGTCTATAGGAGGGCAGACCCACTGAGTACCCTCGGGCCTAGGAGTAGTTACATCTCTGGGACATGACCTGAAAATGCCAAATTAGAGAAGTACCCCAGAGGAAGGATTACACAGACGTTCAGCCTTATGCTACTATCCTGAGGGCTTGGACTCTCCCAGAAGAAAACCACACTTGAGGCTGCTACATAGGGCGACCTGCTTGCCATAAGACCCATACTATCTGTAACTCGATGTAATAGAGGAATGCAAAATTCAAATTCCTTGCTCTTCCATGCCATGACTTCAGCTCCTTGCTCCTGTCCTTCCCAGGGTGGGAGTCAGGTGCTCAGTCCTCTGCCCTCACCAAGAGGAACACTCTTGAGAAAATCTATTCTCTTAAGGCCAGATTCCCAAACTCTTGAACTTGGGGTCATTTCATAAGCATTTTCCTTTTCTCTGGCTGAAAGGCTAGATTCCAGGGTCATACCACCTAGGACCTGTCCC